GTTTATCTTTATTAATTTTTATAAGCGTCATTCTGCTCGATGACTATTATTCTATTTTTCATGCAGCTTGAAAATTCGGTTTTTCAGAATCTCGCAGGTTTATCGGTAAAAACTTTATATCATCTTTTAGATTTAATGTTCTTCCAGAAACAAAATCGTCTTACACTGTAAATTTGTATTTTTGAAATTATGTATCCATTTCTTTTAATTTTCAGTTTTCACGATTTTTCATATTTTATGCAATAATTATAGCTAATAACATATTCATTCTTTCTATTCAAGGCAGTTAATTAGAGCTCAAAGTTTTATTTTTAACAAATTATTCTACTGTTTTTGAAGGTATTAATCGAAACTATAGCTTATCTAGGTAAGGTAATTTAAAAAAAAATTTTTTTTTCAAGTTATACCATTTTCCGAATTTTAAATCTGTTTTTCGAAGGCTCCGTTGTCATATCAAATGATACTTTTTTAGCTAATAATATGTTATTTATCTAATTGCTGTGAGTTTACAACTCTGTTACTTATGACTGTTAGGTCAAGTTTAGCCTATCAAAAACCAACGCTGTCTCAGGGCTAAAGAGAATAGACTCATGACGTCACTGTATACACAGATCTCGGAAGATCGCACGCAAAGATATTAAAACAACTTTGCATCTTTCTCTTTGTAAAAATAAGTTAGACTTTTTCTGGTTATTAACTTTCAAACTTTACGTAATTAACACATTATTTCCATTCGTAAACATAGTTCAAAAAAACTTTCTTGGCCATTATATTAAAAAAAATACCATTTTAAACTTATAAAAATGTTTTACTAGTTGGCGAAAATGACACTATAAATACTTTGTTTGAAAAAGTTCAGTTTTAACTTTAATTATTAAGAAAAATGAAAGCATATATCGACACTTTTTTTATCATCTACATATTCTTTTATAACAATAAGTTGAGTTAAATTTAGAATCCCTGATTTAAAATATGCCGTTAATAGCAATTTGTTCATACTTAATTATTAGGAAACATCAACCTGAAACGCTAATTACTGAAACAAAAGAATAATTTAGGTTCATAATGACATTAGAAATTTTACAACTGTTTACAGATATTTAAATTTACGATGATATAATTTATAGATATTTAAATTTAAGAGAATATAATTTTTAAAAAAATCATAAATATTTTGAATAACTACATTAAAAAATATGGTATGAAATTAGGAGAATTCCAACTATATACTATCTATTTTATTTATACTTTTTATTTACATTTTAATTTTCTTTGACTTTATCCATTTTTTAATTCTTTTCACCTGCCTTTCTTTTTGAAGTAACGAGGCGGTTTCTATTTAGATAATGAATTTTTATAAAAGTTCTTTACGACAGAATAAACGTATTGCTGTTTTATATTAACTGTGTCATTTCGGAATCCATTCTTTACATAGTTGTTCATTTACTTTAGGGAACACGCGAAAAATTATACTTTTTCCTTTTGTTTTTGTATCAGAATTTTTGCAAGTTGCAATCGCGCAAACTGGCATTTCGATAATAGTTTTAAATTCTTGTAAATTCACTGCAAAAACTGAGGAAAGTCATTATAGAAAATAACAAATGTCTTAGAATATCTCGCAAAAAGAAATGATCCAATATTAGTTAGAGCTAGTAAGGCCAAACGCTCCGTTCTTGAAGTAAAAGTGCGAGCTTTGCGCCAAAGTGACGTCACTAGAGAAAATAGGAGGATTGGCGCGGCGAGAGCTATTTCAAAGGAGTGAACCAGCCCTTCTATTCTCTTTAGCCCTGACGCTGTGCAATATGGGGAAAAGCGACAATTTTGTGAAAATGAAAAGCATTTGTGGTCTCTAATTTTTTAATATTTAAAAACTTACTCTACTGTGGCAATACCTGGGCTCATAAAAATGTGCAAAAACTGAGAATCAGGCAGTGGTTTTGATAGTTTTTCTCACGGTGGAAAAATGTCGCCAAATTGGCAATTTTTTAAAAAAGGTTCAATAACTCTTAAAATATTTAAGTTATTCGTCCGTTGTAAAGGCCAGATACACGGCTAGATTATGTATATAGTTTAAAATCATCGCACTGCTACAATTGTAAGGCATATAAACTATAGCTTTTTTTATTTTCCATAATGTCAGAAATTCGAAAAACAGTGTTAAGGCAATCGTATATGAAAACTTGGTGATTATTTTTTGTCCAGGGAACATAAATTTGTTTCTTCAAATGTGACTCCATTTGCACAGTAGGGGGTAAAATGTTCAAAACCATTGTTAAAACTATGTATTAAACTTAATATTTTGTTTGGCTTTTCATTAAATGAAGAGTAGAGCATTCTCGCGGCAGTCAATTGTGGGCTTCATGGAGGTAAGCTCCACACTATCGGGATCAACGGCATGATTGTAACAATGAAATTAGTATTGTGCGCAAGACGCCTTTACTTCGCCGAAAATCTGGTATCCATTTATTTGAAGCTGTGTGGCTTTAAGTCGACATAGAGAATTATCCGAATCGTATGCTCAAAATTTACTAAAGTGCTATTTAAAACCACCATTCCTCGCAAAATTTAAAGAGTGCGCCAAGTTTGCTGTGAAATGTTTGAAACGAAAATAGCGGGACAACTAATAGACAAAGCTATATAAAACCCTATGTGAAGAAAAATATTTTTTTTTGTGATCGTAAACAATATTTTAATTAATTGAATCACGCGATTTAACACCGTTAAGACATTTTACCTTCTTTTTTCTTTTTCTTTCGAAATTTAAGTACAATTTTGTCAACAAGCCACAACTATACTCACACTTTGAAGGGTTCATTGACGAAATTTGGCCAATTTTAACAGCGGTTGTCGGCAGTTTTCAATGATCACTAACGACCATTGAAAACTGCCACAAAAAAATGTCATTTATCCAACTTGCTATTCCTTTTATAACTAATGAGTAATTTATGTAACGCAAGTAGTTAAAAAATCTCACTTTTCAATTAGATAATGTGTATTTTTTTTAATCAAAAATTCTTATTGACCGCATTTTTTAGACACCCTGTATGTTTGTTTCCGTGAATGACCGAAATGAAGAAAATGTCGAGTTTCACCGGTAAACAATCACCTAGTCGCTTTGATGAATGTCCAAAATATTTTTTATAACAGATTTGATATTAATTTATTTGTTAATATTATTATAATTATTCGATATTTTAATATCTGTTGAGGATAGATTAGAATAAACATCAGAGTTCGGAGTACCGGTGAAATGTATACCAAGTGGCACTGAACATTAAAAAAAAAACATCAGTGTAGGGAATACCGGGCAAATGTATACCGGCAGTGTCACTTAACTAGACTTAGTATGTATTTCGGTCATTTTATTACTTTATTAATCGACTATATGATTGTCAACATTCGCCGGTGGAGGTTGACAACCATTAATTTCGGTTATTCGCTGTAACGTATGCATTATTTGGTTCTTTTATTTGTTCTATGCTTATTCAGCTTTTGCAAAAGAATGAAATAATCTAAAAACGCCTACTTTCTTTGGGTCGTGAAGTACGAATTACTTCATAAAAATAAAGAATAATAAATAAGTTAAAAATTAATAGTCTCCAACCATATATGGCAGTACTTTTACTTTCGTTACTTGTACCGCCGGTACAAGTAAAAAGTACGTACTTTTACTTGTACTTCGTTACTTTTTAAGTTTAGTACTTTTACTTGTACTTTCGTTACTTTTTTAGGGAAAAAGTACAAGTATTTGTAACGGAAATATCGAATGAAATCGTTACTTTTTTCTAAAACTCGGTAAGCTTTCTAAAAAAACAAAAAATTAAATTTAAAAAAAATGCTTATGTTTTTTTAATTTATAAAATTAATGTGCAATATATATGCATTCACAGCTAACTTCGTGTTTAAATACCTTCTGTTTCAACTTATACTGCACATTCAATTATTTTTTACTAGCTCAAAGATCACAAAGCTATCTGAAACCCCGTGTTTGCTTTGTTTATGTTTGTGTTTTTAAAACGCGTTTCTAAAGAGTAAAACAATTTTAAATCAATGGTAATTTAAATAAATAAAAATAATAAACTAAAAATTAAAATCAATAGATAAAATTTCTTTTTCGTGCAAATCCATAAAAAGTTTGATATTAAAATTATATTTGATTTTAAAATTATATTATACGATTATATTATAAAATTATATTATAATATTCTTCCGAATTTAAAAATAAATTAATGTCCATAACTTTCAAAATTAAAAATAATTAAATAAATAACAACAATTTTGCAAAAACATTAAAGAACATAAGAATATTATTCAATAAAATTTTAGGTTACTTTGAATTTTCGATTTCCTAGAAATGTACTTTTAAATCGTTACTTTTTTTGTTTAGTACTTGTACTTTTACTTGTACTTTTTACTCGTTACTTTTTAAAATAAGAACTTTTTACTTTTTACTCGTTACTTTTTTTAACAATACTTGTACTTTTACTCGTTACTTTTTAAAAGTAACGTTGCCATGTATGTCTCCAACTACTGCCACATGAATTGTTTCATAATTTATTATTTTTTTAAATTCCTTATGTTTTATGCATTCCTACCGGATTTTCCATAAAATGGAGTCCATACATGGTGAACCAACAATTTTGTCCTTTTGTTACAGTATAATTACATTTTAATGTTACCTTTATCTGATTTACCTTATATGTATATGCCACAAATTATTAAACTACATCAGATAACACATCTTTATTCAATATCTATACTATCAGTAAACCTATCAATTCTTATCTTTTGATAGCATTATCTTCCTCGTTTTTTGTTATTGACAAGTTTTAAGGGGAAAAAAAGATATATATTTATAATAATAAAGTTAAATTTTTTTGATGACTTGCACTCTTGTTTTGATAAAATGTTTTCTTATTCGATATCATTCATTTTTATCTTTCATTTCATTTCAAGGTTGATAGTGTAGAACTCAATTTAGATACATACATTTTTTCTCCTCTTTTTTTAAAAAAAAAATATTTGCGTCACCCTACTTATCTAATCTAATTTCAGATGTTACGGTAATCTATTTTGATTTCGATTTTATTATATATGCCGAATGAAAAGTGCACAAAGGATGCGGGATTAAGAGTGCAAAATCCAGAGCAGTAATTTGTTTAGCTATGGGTTTAATGGAAAGTTTTCTGGATGTTTATGTTTCAACTGCAGTCTTTGGAGTTCTCTTCCTTTATTTACTTTATCGGTAAGATAGTTTTTATTTTTATTTTTATGTTTGTATAATAAGAGTGATTGAATGGGCGTTGTAAATGCTAACACTAAAACTAAAAAGTCATGCTAATTTCCACATTACCAAGCTAATCTTTAGGATAATTCGATTATTTAGGATAATTCGTTAAAGTGCAGAATCGGGGGGGGGGGG